GCTTTTAAAGCAGAGAGAGGCATTTGCTATGATTCGGTCAACTTTTCCCAGCCTGAGGGTATGAAGCTTATCATTGGGGAGAGTGTTTCCTGGTACAGAGGTCTGCGGGGAACGTTTTCCTGAGGAGTTAGTTATCCGATTGAATGTGCTCCCATACCATGTCCCAGTTATGTCTGATAAGCCTTTAAGGGTTAAAAGTAAAGCTAAAAAAGGGAACTCTAGGACAGTAAGTTCTGGGTCATTGAGAGGTTTCTTATGGTTATTGAACTGAGCAAACTGCTCAAGACAGACTCAGGAATTACTCTTGTTGTACAAAAGGGCCATGGCTTATATCATGGTAGGAGCTAAAGGGTGTGACATATCACTAAATCCAATAAAAAATCCCAGCAGACTCAGAGATAGTAAAATCTTCATGTTCACTTCTTGTCAGTAACTGTTATCCCTACTATAAGGATAATAATTAAGCAAAATCCAAGATACAGAATTTCCCTTTGGGAGTCTATGAAGTTACAAACGTAATCCCATGGATCATCTCCCTACAAATATGTGTCAAAAAGAAGCTCCAATGTTTAATGGTGAATCTCAAGAGGAAAAGTAGAAATGACTGAAAGTGTCTAGTAAGGTAAAGGTGAGACTGAGTAGGATGAGTAGCCCTTACTCATTTATTCGTGTTTTATGATTTTCAGTGTAAGATCTCCTATTTCTTTGCATTGATATCCGGGGTGTTCCTCTGGGCTGTCAGGGCTTGCTCTCTCAGCTTTCCAGGCTTTGACTTAAGTGTAATGTATCCAAGAGTCAATTCCTGAAACTTTGCTACTGAGCGGGTGGAAAGGAGAATGGTGTAAGGCCCTTCCCAGCTTGGGTTTAGGGAAGGAGAGAGAGAGAGAAGGGAGGGCTCTCACCAATACCAAATCTCCTGGGTTAAACAAAGGTGGCCCTATTTCTTGGAATTGGGCTTCTGCTAGTTGAGTTAATTCCTGTTGAAAGTGAGCCGGGGGCCAGCCACGGTGGCTCACACCTGTAATCCCAGCACTTTGGGAGGCCAAAGGGGGCAGATCACAAGGTCAAACTGGATCAGGTCATTCTCACTTCTTTGTGTAGTAATTTTTTAAGCCTTAATTTAGAGTTCTCTCCTGCAAGTCTCCTGGAACCCCTGCCCTCTTCTCCAGATCTGGGCAGCAGCTCTGTTTCTGTGCACACTGTCACCATAACGCTATTCATATTGCAACACTCAACTTGCAAGTTGAGGTTATGAACACCTTGAGGCACAACTTCTTCCTGCTCTGCGTTACCCTCTTAGTTAGCAGAGAATGGCATATTACAGGGCTCCATCAATGCTTGCAGAATTGAACTAATGCTTACAAGCATTCATTCCTACTAATATTTGTGTAACATTGTGTGAGGACTAAAGATGAGCTTGAGAAAGTAAATTAAACTACCAGAATATACCTTAGAGAAACGCGAATAAGCTGGGACTCTGTTAATAGGTCCATTATGGAGAATAAGTATTTCTTAATTTAAGTTACCCTAGAGGGGTAACTTAAGGGCTTGCAGAAATGAGAAATATTTTCCACAAAACTGCAAATATGGTAAAATTAAGGTATATCTTAATCTACTTATACAAAAAATAGTGTCTAATAAATGAAGGGGATCTAAGTTTAAAAATTTGTGTGATTTGATGATTAGCTGGTAAACACATCCAAAGTTACTATTAAGTTATTTTCTGTTTATTGCCAAATACTACTTTAAACCTATACTATATGTATGTGTGGCATATTTTTATGACTCTAAATGTGTATGCATACATACATGTATTTTAGGACAGAGTATTTCAAAAGTTGAGGATCTACAGTCTGAAAAGCCTGGTCCTCACAAGATGTCACAGTGATAGAAACTAGGTTAGAAATGTGGCAGAGAAGAGAAAATAGGACAAAGAAAATTTTGGCCTCTGTGATTTCCGAAAGTGGCCTTAGTATGTAGGTAGCTGGACACTCAGGATCCCTCATCGGTGTACAAGTCTCAAGTTCTGAATTTATTAGAAAAATTTAACAGATGAAGACAGTTAAGGAAAAAGACCTCATAGAAATAGGATAAAATAGCAATTTTGTGAGGATAGGGGCTGGGAGAATTGGGAGATGTTGGTCAAAGGACACAAAATTTGTTAGGAGGAATTTTAAGAGACCTATTGTACATCATGGTGACCATAGTTAATGTATTCTATACTTGAATATTACTAAGAGAAGAAATTTTCAGTGTTCTCATCACACACACACACACACACACACACACAAATAAGTATGTAAGGTAATGCATATAGAAAATAGCTTGATTTAGCCATTCCACAATGTATACATATATCAAAAAAATTATGCTTTATACCATGTAGACAATTTTTACTTATCAATTAAAAAAAGAAAGATACGAATGGTTAAAGAGGCTATCAGATCCAGTAAATATAATGTGTCACAAAGTCGATGAACATAAAATATGTACTAAGGGTAGTTTTCCTATAAAGAGTAAGATATGAATTTCAATGATGTAATAAATTCATCATTAGTTGTCCCCCCACAAAAAAATAAGAAAAGTAAAAAGAAGAAAAAAAGCAGGTGGTCAGGTCAGGAAAGCTCACAACTCAGAATACAGCATGGCAGTTTTAAATAAAAGTGAGTTGGGAAGAAATGCAAATAGACCATACTATTTATGAACTTACACTCATGTTTTTGGGAAATCTGTGAATTTTTAGGGAAATGTGGGAAATTAAGAACACTCAGCCTTGATTTTCTCATTTTTGAGGATGCACTTACCGAATTCAGTGTCAAATACTTTCTAATAATTCCCTAGAGGGCAAAAATCGTAAGGCCTTATGCAAACATGAGATTCACTTTCTGTGACTTTTCATTTAAAATAGTACTAAGTTATTATTACCACTTCAAGGCATATGAGATATATGCTATATTTCTCTTTCTTTTTTGTAGAAATAACTTTTTTGTCTTTTCTTACTAAAAAGCAATGCATATTAATTACTGGAAAAATTTTTATATGGAGACAAGCAAGAAGAAGATACACCATAATTTTACCTACCAAGAAAAAAACCATACTTTTAAAGCTTTATTGGCATGCTTTCAGACACTTTTCTAAATGTATATATTTTTTCCTTATAAAGTTAGAGCTGTGTAAAACATTTTATTCTTTTGAAATACATGAGGAACAACTATCTGTGTTAACATTTTTGGCAATTTCATGGTGTTCCTTTATGTAGAAGAACTAAAATCTATTTAATTAATCCCCTATTGCTTGACATTTAAAATTTTCTAATTTTTCAAAAGTGCAAGCAGCACTGTGATGAGTAGAATTGCAATTAAATCTTTCCACACGATCTATATTGTATTCTGAGACTCACCAAACTGAAATTACTAGGTCAAAGGGCATGACTATTTAAAAACTTTTTATATATATTACCAAATTACTCTTACAAAATATTATATCATTTACACCCTTATTGTATGAGAATGCTATTTCTCTGCATCTTCACCTACCCTTGCTAAAATACTGAAAAATACCTTTACAAATTTGGTAGACAAAAACAGTTATGTAACTCTTCATGGGTCTTTAAAGATATTATCCTTTTGTCATGTATTACAACCTATTTTCCAGCTTGCAATTTGTCTTAAGTTTGTGGGCTTTTTAAGAATATGTTGCCAAATGTATTTGGTTCGTTTTTCATGGCTATTGCCTGTGGTATCACGCCTGGAAAATATATAGCTATTATACAGCCCAAGTTGATAGAGCCATTTACCCACATGTTATGTTTTTATGGTTTCATTTTTTTCTTCAAATAAATATTTAATCTACTGATACTTATTTTGGAGGAGAAGTAACAGGTAAATATGTAATTATTTTTATTTCTCAAAGGTTTATCCAATTGTCTCAACACAAATAATTGAACAAATAATGCCATCCACACTTATGTGTGCTTTCTAAAGTTGAAAAGTAATTCAAATTATTTGAAAATTTTCATTGTGTTTTATTAAAAACATACTGATCTAAATATTGAATCATCTTTTTGTGGCTGCAGTAAAAATGCAAGTGCTGTATCAGATCACATCCCATAATGCCTTTTATAAGGGGACTTTTGATTCCTTTCTAAACTGAAAATGTGGAGCTAAATTATCATGTCACTGACATTGGGGACCCTCTGAGATAGTCATCGTGTCACTCTTTCTTTAAACCTAGGATTTCTTGAAAACTTGCAAGGAAAGATTTCCTGCATTAGAAGAGCACTAGAAAAACATTGCCTAGTTGCTCCCTAATTGTGAAAGAACATTGAAAATGTTCTACATTTTAAAATTCTAAATGGCTTATCTGTCTATTTAGTAACCACTTTGAAAAATGAAACATTAGCTGCTTTTGCACATCTTAAAAAAAACTTAGTGCTATTAAGGAAACCTGGAAATGCCTCCAAAGTCATTGATTATTATGATAGCAAGTGGAACATAGAGTTGAACTCACTCAATAACTGATTAGATTGTTTTTTGTTTTGCCTTTATGCACACAAAAGAGCAAAAACATTAAATTATCTATTTCTCAAGGGTAATTGAAGCAGTCATTGAATTAAGCCTAACTTAATGGTGTTAGAAATTACTTTTGAATGGGACAGAGATTTACTCAAATGTCTAATAGCTTTAATGGTATTTCCAAGTATATGTTCACTTCTTAGGGATTCTATTTTTCAAACAGCAAAGGTGCTGAGAATATAGGCATATGTGTTATAAAGGAATGAATTAGCATAAAATAATAAGAAAAGAATTTATGTGGTATGGTGTAAAAAATAGGATAGACAACCCTCACTTTTGGATGGTTAGAACAGTTTTTTTTCAAGCTTTCTTATTCATACGTATCACCCTGGGATCTTGATATACATATTCTGAGTCAGTATCTGGGGTGGGCCTGAGAGTCTACCTTTCCAACACAAGCTTCCATGTAATGTGATGCTAATGGTCATGGAGAACATTTTGAGCAAAGGTAAAGGAATTTGAACAAGGAATTCGAGTTGTTTTCAGCTCTATGATTCTAGATTTAATTAACTATAAGAGATTCTTCACTTACTTGGTAAAGAGATATCTTGGACCTAATGTTTCCAAATATCTTTCTGTTTTAATTATCCATGCTAACATCTAGAATCTTGACCCTCAAACAAATTACCACCTGAAACTAATAAGGAAGGTGATTGTGTGTTCTCAGATTTTTCCAGGCAGAAATGGGAAAGCTACAACATAGCCTACAGAACCTTGCTAGTGCTGAGCAATGAAAATGCAATTATAACACATCTAAGGACAATGTGTGCACCCTCTTAGATTGTGTAGAAAATGCCAGTCACTGTGGAGTAACTCTGCAGTAAGCTGCCTAAAGTACACATGAGCTGCTTCTGACTTACCAAGAGTTTCAAAAGGCCTGACCATTCTTTGGTCTGCTCTCTAATCTATGATAATCACTATCGGTGTGTGAAAGAGGGTTTGTGAAGGAAATCTGTGTGTACATAAATTGGTGAATGATTTTAGGTTTTTTTGAATAAGTGTTTTAAGGCAAATGTAACCAAATAAAGAAAAATTTAACTTTGCAGATTGCCACTTGCAAGGAGTGGAAGACGTTAAAGTTTTAGCTCCAGATCCGCTGTGAACTAATGACACAGACAACTCACTTTACTCCCTGAGCTTCAGGTCCAAATTTTAAAAGAGAAAGTTGAATGAAATGACCTCTAGAGTCTTATACAGCTTTAAACTCAATGATTTCATGAAAAGAGCTTGGCATAAAACTTAAACTTGGGGTGGGGCATGGTGGCTCACACCTGTAATCCCAGCACCTTGGGAGGCTGAGGTGGGCAGATCACCCTGATGTCAGGAGTTCAAGACCAGCCTGGCCAACATGACGAAACCCCATCTTTACTAAAAATTACAAAAATTAGCCGGGTATGGTGGTGTGCACCTGTAATCCCAGCTATTCAGGAGGCTGAGGTAGGAGAATTGCTTGAACCTGGGAGGCGGCAGTCGCAGTGAGCCGAGATCATGCCACTGCACTGTAGCCTGTGCGACAGTGCGAGACTCCATCTCAAAAAAACAAAAACAAAAACAAAACAAAGCAACTTAACTTTGGCCTTGAGCCTTTTGTTTTCATGAGGAATTAGTAGATTCCACATTTTGTGACCATGTAGTTCACTTTCCAAGTCAAAAGTACTTTAAAAAATTTATGATTCTGAAAATTGTTGATACAGGTACAGCTTCCTTTCTTTTGGCAATGCCAATATAATTTTCATTCTTTTATAGTGGATTTGTTTTTTATTCTCTTACTGCTTTCTGATTTTACCTTTGATTGGATATACTGAAGTGTCGCTACATGTATCTAAAGATAGAATTTATTTTCCTTATCCTGATGACAACTCATGCTCCTAGTATATGATGATTTCTATTTTCCATTAGGTTTGGGAAGTTCTTATCCATTATATTTGCGAGGATGACTCTTCTCCTATTGTCTCTATTCTCTCCTTATATAACTTAAATTAGATGTGTATTCAATCTTCTTGCTCTGACATCAGTCTTCTAACTGCTTTATGGTTTCTGTCTCTTTCTTTCTCTCATGCATTCAAGAAGATTGCCTAAATTGTGTTTACAGTTCATTAATTCAGCTTTGTCTAATCTGTTTCCGTACTCTTTGATGGGTTAGAGTGGTGCTAGACTTAGATTATCTAAGTCTTCTACCTGAGCCTAGAGAACAGCACTACAGAGCAAAGCCCCATGCACCATCATAAAAGAGTTGGTAAGAGACATGCACAACAGTTTGAGAAGGTATAACCTACTGTGAATTGGAGTTCCAGAAGGAGAAAAGAAGAAAAAATGAGCCAAGGGCTATATATGAAGAGATAAAGAGCTAATAATTTTCAGTAACTTCTGAAAGGTGAATCTTCAACTCAATAGGCCCAGTGAATTCTAAGCAGAACAAATTAAAAAAAAAAAAAAAAAAAAGACTCCAGCATATAATATAGCATAATCACAGAAACCAGAGATTAAAAGAAAGTAAAATAAGCCAGAGAGGAGAGAAAACATATGCGCACTTACGCATGCATGCAACGATGTATGTAACATGATTTTCATTGCAATTTTTTTTTGTAATAGCAAGTGATATGAAAAAAACCTGATACAGTTGTATGAGGGAATATCATACAGCCGTTGGAAAGGATAAAACGCTTCTATATGTACTGACATGGAATAATTGCCAAGATATATTGTTACATTTAAAAAATTCAAGGTGCAGAATCCAGGATATATTTTTTAAGATGATATGAAACAAGACATAGGATAGAGTGAATGCTAAACCCGATGTCAATATAGCCAAACATGGATTGGTATGTGCATAAAGTATCTCTAGAAGGGTACTCAAATGGTAACAGTGGTTACCTTTGGGGAGAGGAATTGGGGACTGGGGGTCAAAAGCAGAAGGGAGACTTACTTTCACTGCATATTCTTTTCTAGCTTTTGAATTTTGTAAAGCATTTATATATTCATCCTCTTGAAGGAATAAATGAATAACAAGCAAATAAGCAAATTGCCTAATTTCCCTTTCCGCACAACAACCAAATCTGCCTGTACCTCCCATCCTCTGCCTGTACCTACTCATCATTTTTTTCTTTTTAAAAGAGGCCATGTTACAGAAAGATATTATGGACCTTGGAGACTCATAGCAGGGAAGATGGGAGGGGACAGGGATAAAAACTACATACTGGGTACAATGTTCACTACTTGGATAATGGGTGCACTAAAATCTCAGATTTCACCACTATACAATTCATCCACGTAACCAAAAACCACTTGTACCCCAAAGCTATTGAAATGAAAAAAAAAAAAAAAAACAGTAATTTTTTAAAAAAGAGGTCATGCTGGAAATAAGAACATAAAGGAACATCTCCTAAGAGGGCAGGGGTCTTTGTACTGAGGGAGAAGAAAGATTTCCTTATAGCTTTGCCTCCCCTTTTGAAAATGTTTTCCAAAATGTGAGAGTATAAAGCATACCATATTGCTGTATCTTTATTTCTAATGAATGGTTCAATTCTTCCTGCCCCTGACAACTTTAGCTAGACAGTTCTCTTTTTCCAAGCACCTTTTTCAAATGGATGATTGTTTGTGTGCATTCAAATGTACATAGTTTTTACTGAAGGAACCCATGGTAAGTCCAGCAGGTAATGGCCAGCAGGTCTTTGTTGAACCCACCACCAGGTAGGACTGGCTCAGGCATGAAGTGAGTGAAGCTATGCACTCTGCCCAGAAGTAGATTTCCTCCCTAGACTCTTCCTCACTGCCCAAATTTCTAGTTCGTCTCTTCTTTGGGTTAGTGAAATGGGTTAAGACATATTAACCAAGTGTCTTTGTCACTTAAAATGAACAACTTGGTTGCGTATGGGTTTGTCTTTCTCTGGACTGCTTTGTTGCCTGGCTCAAAGTGGAACTATTTGCTGTAAGTTTGTAGGGATGGTGATTAATGAAGTTACAGAAAAACAGCCTACACAATCATAGGTAGTGGCCTTGTCTTATTTACTACATTGTGCATACCTTAGGGTCAGGACAAAGCCATGTCCATCTTAACATCCTCATTATCTAGCGCAACCCTCATAGTAGATGTCTAATAAATGTCAAAGTACAATGAATTATTATGAATTATACTGTTGCGCACTTCAAACAGATGGAAGACAAAGTTGCAAGGCAAAAAGAGCATGAGATCTGGGGTCAACTAGATTTGGAGATGAATCTTGATCCCATAATTTGCCAGTTGTAAACTTAAGCAAGTTGCTCTACCATTTTTAGCTCCACTTTTCTCATCTCTAGAGTAACAGCAGCCTTGAAGGGTTATTATGAAAATTAATTAAACGAATATATGTGAAGTGCTCAGCACATATTAGGCACCCCATCAATGGAGACTTTTATTGCTGCTGACATTGCAATCACATTTTATTGTTGCTGACTGATGTGATTACTGTCATCATTATTTATATAATAAAATTGTAAGTGTCCAAATAGCATAGAGTGTTTTTACAGTAGACCATAGGTGGCGGGGAAATTCTAAGTGTGGCTTTTCATTTGGACTCAACTTATCTACAGGCATATCACAGTGATTATTGTGGATCTTTTTCCATCGTATCCTTAGAATTTTTTAAAATCTGCTTTATTTAAGCTTTATTTATTTAAAATCTGTTCTATTTAAGCTTCTAGAACCTACTCAACTTTAGGGCAGGCTGCAGCTATTGCTTTAAAATGAGGAGATCCCATGGACAGAGAAGTTGTTAGGATATGGCTGAGACAGTACATGCACATGGAACAAGCACAGTCTTTGGGGTAGATGAAACAGCCAGCTTCTAATACCAGCTTCTCTGCTTTGAGGAAAAGTATGAGCCTCATGAAGCTCAGTCCCCTAACTGTAATGTTGGAAGTGTTCCATGAATGTCTGGTCTTTTGGTGGTTATTAATTTATTCCTTGCTGCCTTTTAGTAAGGATTGAAAATGATTGCAAAGATGCATAAGGAGCAGGAAAAAAAAAGGTGAAGAGGTTTGCTATGTGCTAAATGTTTATATCCTAAAATTCATATGTTTGAAACCTAACCCCCAGTGTGATGGTATGAGGAGGGAGGACCTTTGTGAAGTTATTAGGTCATGAGGATGGAGCCACTTAAAGGAAATTTCCCCTCTGCCATCAGACTAAATTTGTTTATTACTTGTTTAAAAATCAATTCATCCTATATTGACTCGAAATGCGATTTTTATAAAATACTAAATTATTAGATACATTTATTTCTGTTTTTATTTTCCCTCTGTTACATTCATCTGTCTGTCCATGAATGTACTGATAGAACACAACTTTTACTTATAATTTGTGATATTGTATCTGGCTTTTTATTCATTTCACTCCTATCCTCCAAAAAAAGAAATCCATAGGTTTTTTTTTTCATCTTTTTACTTTCTTGAACAAAATTTAGAATCATA